AGTTTAATTATATGGATTTACATAAAATTTACGTTATAATTATAATCAATTGTTACCATAAATTTATCTTTAAAATTATTGATAACTATCATTATTCTTATTAGTATTAATTTGAGTTTGATTTTGACCGCCACTTGCATCGAAAAAGGTGTTAATTATTTATGGAGCTCAAGTCAAGCTTGAACCTGCTCTGTCTGATTCTTCAATTATTGTCACTCCTTTTTTCTTTTTTATTTTTATTTTGTTTGTTTGGCCTTCGTGATTCTTCAATGTCAAAAATCCCATAATTCTCACAAGTTTAGTTAGGTATTTTGAAAGGATATAACAAATCTCATTAACCATCATCAGAAAAAAAGACGGATCCAAACGGGATGCACCATAGAAGGGAAAAAAGGACAACTATATGGTCCGGTTCAAAATGTGATGAACCATAGAAGCGCAAAGAGCACAACTATACTCCAGCTGATTTTAAGGGTGCGCTTTATGTATACACCACAAATAGTAATATTTGTGATGATGCTATGAATTTACATTTTATTCCTTACTATTGGAGGATGAAAAGATGTAAAGTAGCTATGATTAATTGTGAATGAGCTTACAAAGAATAAATTTTGGTTCGATTTAGTTTCTACAAGCACCAAGAGCACAACTATACTCTAGCCAGCGTTTTTAAAATCGAATCGGATTGGTCGGTTGAACCGATCGGACCGTTACTCGAGAGTGAAAATGGTTTGATTTGTATAATAAACCCATTTGTATGTCAAAACCGTTCAAACTTAATGGAATCGATGGAATCGGTAGAACGAGTGAAACCAAAAAAACCGTCGGTTCAATTTAGCATGCAATCTTCTTACCAATTTCACCCTCACCATTCCTTTGTTATATCGATTTTAACCCATAATTTCAACAAAATTGCAAAATCATCAAAAACTAAATTAAAAACTCTCTAAAATCTGAAACTGTTTGTGAAAACCCTCGACTCCCAAGTCCCAACCCAAGTTCTCTGCCTCTCTACCCTTTCTCACATCGTCGACGCTCCCCTCCCTCTCTGCTGTGTTCGATCTCCGACGTTGCTCTCTGCTTTTTGTAGATTTGCTCTCACCGAAGTTGCTCTCTTCCTTCTGTTGGTGTACTCTTGCCAGAGCTGCTCTTTGCTTTATGCTAATCTGCTCTCACCAATTCACTGAACTGAAGCTGCTCTCTGCCTTTTGCTGATCTGCTCTCTACCTTCTACTGATTTGCTCTCACCGAAGCTGCTCTGCTCTCACGAAGCTGCTCTTTGCTGTGCTGTCTACTGATTTGCTCTCACCGGATGTCCAAAACTACTTTTTTTTTTTATCTACTTTCTTTCACTTCATCGGCCTTGATTTCTACTGGTTTGCTCTCACTGGCACTGGTCTCTGCTCTCACCGACACCGGTCACCATCCGTAGAAAGCAGACCTTGGCCTATTGCATGCGTCCCTTCCGTGTGCCTCCTATTCTGCAATTGGCCTTCACTGCTTCTTCACACTTCATAGCTTCTCCCACCCAAGCACAGGTGTATTTTTGTTTCATCAAATTCTTCATTTGACAATTTTGATGAGAAAAAATTGGACTAAATTTATAACCTTTTAGAATTAGAAACTATTAATTCTTTTCCAATTTTAGAATTAGAAATTTAGTTGCTGGACACTTATAAGACACTTTGAATTTTTTGTATTAATTAGCCATATATTCTGTGTCTAGGTTTGGTTCTTGGACACTTGTAGTTGCAAGTTGCATCTTTTGTATTAATTAAATTTTTTGTATTAATTAGCCATATATTTTGTGTTTGGGTCTGGTTCTTGGACACTTGCAGGTTGCATATTTTGTGTTAATTAAACTTTTAACTTGTTTTAATCTTTTTAACAATAATTAATAATTAATAACAATCAATAGATCAACTGTTTCTCTCATAGCAAGAGATAGAAGAAATGCTTGAATATATATTGCATTTACATATTTTGTTTTGAGAATTAGAATTGAAATTATTTGATGAGTTTTCAAGGTAAAAATGTAATATATTTATGTTAAAAAGTTGTTTAAAATGGTGAAGTGTTGACATTTAAAATTGAGGAGGCTGGAAGCTGCCCCTCAAATTTCCCTTGTATGTTTGGGCCGACTGGTTGATCAGTTGAACCTATTGAACTAGTTAAATTGAGAACCAAAACTAAAACTGTTCATTGACCGATTCGATTTTAAAAACCTTGATTCTAGCTGATTTTTAAGGGTACACTCCATTTTTACATCACCAATAATTTTTATGATGATACCCACATATTTCTAATGACAATCTAATGGTCACAATTTATTCCTTACGATTAGAGGACGAGTAGATGATAAGTAGCAATAATCAATTTTGGATATGCTTACAAAAGCAGAAATTCTAGTAAGATTGGATTCTTCCACGTGGTAGAAGTAAAGATTAAATCAACTTTTGGCCCAACAGAGTTCCAAATGAGTTTTGGACATCAAATGGATAAAAGTGTTGAATCTGACCTGGACTCATAAAAAGGTCTAAGTTTGGGCTTAATTAAGTGTTTTTATTAGAATATATTTGAATTTTTCTCAAGGAAGCTTCTTCTATGTGAAAAAGAGGTTGGTGATTTCACAAAATCAAGAGAGTTGCTTATCTGGTGCTAAACAGTTTAATTTCAGTAGTGGAAAAATCATAAATGGTTCAAAAAAACATGATTCCAGGGATTTATAGCAACTAAAATGACATGTGGCAAAAGTATGTTCTGTAAGAAAAGATTTGAAGTTGTTAAGCTTTTCTTTGATCCAGTCACACATGAGAATAGAGAAGTTCGGAAAAATTAAGAAAAGATTTCTACCAACTAGATTCAGTTGAAGAGGCCTGTAAATGCAAGACTTCAACACAAAATTTAGTAGGCCTACCCCTCTCAACAAAGCCCCATCTCTACAATGACTTAGCCCAACGCTGCATGACAACTCTCTTCAAGGTCCACCCTCAATTAGTTACATCTTTTGAGGTTTACTTAGGTCCACCCTCTACTAACTTAGATTCTTTCCAGTTTATAGATAATTTTTACAGTGACTGTACAACTCTTTTTAACATGGAAGAAGGATCAACCCTCAAACAAATTTTTTGTTTTTTTATTTTGTTGACTGCATCTGTCAAGTTTTATATGGTTTTCCTACTTCTACTTCCAATAGCAGGCTTTATACTTCTGTCAGCACACTTCTATCAATTCAAATTGCTTTTTGTTTAACGTTAGTTTGTTAATTTCTATTTAATATTCAAGCTTGTTATTTCATTTAGTAATAATGAAACTTATCTTTCAAGTAAATCTACATTTTGTTGAGATTTATTTTTGCTAGTGTTTAGGCAGCTTCACAATCCAACACTGTTG